AGTAGCAGCAGTAATAGTGGTGGTGGTGGTAGTAGTAGTAGTAGTAGTAGCAGCAGCATGTAGTGGCAGAACTAGTAGCAGCAACAGCAGCAGTGGCAAAACACTTGACTGGGATTCTCCGCAGAAGCGAGAGGAGCAATAGCAGCAGCAGTGTTCACAGCACTGGCAGTCGTAGCAGCAACAAAGACCTTGAGTATCACCAGTACCATTTGCATAATTGTCACTGTCCACAAATACTTTCTCTGACTATGAATCAAGGCCCGTGTATTGCTAAAACCCTAAACCCTAAACCCTCTGTAACGCCCCAAACCGTTATTACTTCTAGCAGCCCTTGCAGGAACCCTCATAGAGACAGAGCCTTACCCATAGGCCCCATAGTATTTCCTTTCTGGGATTACCTTATAGGATTCCAAATATGAACCCCAAAAAGGAACTACTATGGGGCCTATGGGTAGGCCCTACCTCGTCAGATGCCCAGGCTCTGGCGTCGCTTGGATGCCGATGGCAGCGGGGAGGCTGCCTTTTCAAGAACAAGTTTGGGTTTAGGGCTTAGCGGCTGAGTAGGTAACCTTTCACCTTTTAGGGCTTATATAATCCTACTATCATTCAAACTGTTAACCTTTTTTTTGGCTAGGGTACTCAGCCCCTAAGAGGGTGTTAAGGTTTTTACGTGGTTTTGGGGGTTTAGGGTCTGGGGCATGATATTATAATGTAATATAACGTGGTATCCTGTGGCATAATGTAGCATCATCCGGTATCGTATAGTATGTTACGGTAGAATATGGGTTCGGAACAGATCTGTAGGATTTGGGTTCTTGGAGTTGTGGGAAGAGATACATTATTTTCTGAAAACGCCTGCGAGCTTGATTGATCAAGTGACCTAGGATCCCCAACCAGTGGACGTAAAACCCTACTACAAACCTCCTTACTCAACTGCTAGAAACCCACTGATCCTTCGAGCGTGTGCCATATGCATGGTTTCTCGTATCAGTCGGGTCGGGACAGAGTTGGTGCTCTTGAGAAATCTGAGCATAACCTGCCCAAAACCAAAAGCCAGTCTAACCGTTAAGGTCCACACCTAGCCCTTTGCTGCCCATCACCTGCGTAATTCAAAGGGCATTTGATGTCGCAGTTAACACTGTCCTAGGCCCTTCTAAGCCTCACTTACTGCGCCAATGGGCGAGCTTGAACCTTGCCTTAAGGACGAAAAGAGCCTTAAGAGTAGGGGCCCTATACCCTTATACTATGAATCCCTATATGGCATATGAACCCTAAACCCTTTTAGGGTTCTTTTCGTCCCTAAGGTGTGGGGTGTGTTTATCCCGAAGCCCTCAACCCCTAAACCTTTCAACCTCCAAGCCCCAAACCCTGAACCTCAACCCCTGAAAACCCGAACCCTAAAGCCTTAAATCCCTAAACCCCTCAACCGTAAATCCCTAAACCCCTCAACCGTAAATCCCTAAACCCCTCAACCGTAAATCCCTAAAGCCCTCAAGAAGGGGCTTCATGGGTTTTTGGTGAGCCTTATATGAACTTTGTACAGTCTGGGTTTTGCTAAAGGTACGGTTGATGATATAAATCCTACATTACCCATAAGAAGGAATAGACCACAGTTCCCATAGTTTAGGGTCCTTAGGGCAATGCAGGATTTACATCAAAAGCAGTAGGAATTGACATTTGAATCTCCAGACCTTCGGGATTAGGCTGCATGGTATGAGAGATAACATGTAGGGTCTATATGGCCTAAAGTTCAGGGTTGAGAAACCCTAAACCCTAAACCCTAGATTCGTAGTAGCGGCTTCTTGGCTTTACTGTTCCCCGTCTTTTTCATACCTTGAGACTTTAAGGATCCCTAGAAAGGCCATATTAGGGGCCCATACTTCTAACCTTAGCTTTACTGTTCCCAAAACCCTAAACCCTAAACCCTAAACCCTAAACCCTAAACCCTAAACCCTAAACCCTAAACCCTAAACCTTAGCTTTACTGTTCCCAGTTTTTTTGGTACCTTGAGACTCTGAGGAAGCTTCTACGGAATTTCAGGGACTTTGCCTGGGGCCCACAAGTTCCCTTACGGCTTTGGGTTAAAGGCGCGTAGGGGTTTAGGGGTTTCGGATTTTAGTGTTTAGGGTTTTAGGGTTTAGGGTTTAGGGTTTAGGGTTTAGGGTTTAGGGTTTAGGGTTTTAGGGTTTGGGGGTTTCGGGCTTTAGGGTGGGCGGGGGGCTGTAGGACTTCGCGTTTTAATATATGGGGGGCCTTAATAATTAAGACAGGGTTCTTGGGTATAGTATACTATGATTTTTAAAAGGAGCTCCCTAAAAAAAGTATAGTATTTTTGGCACCTGTTGTACACCCCGACACCCCAAACCCTAAATCACCCTGCTTGGAGCACAAGATGTGTGGGTCTCAGCCGCAAGGTGTCTTTGAACGAGTTCGTGAAGCTCATGTACAAGTGGCGGCCTTAGGATCTAATGAAAACATAAGCGCTAAACCCTAAACCCTAAACCCCGACCCTAGACCGTAGACCTTAAACCCTTATAAACCCCAACCCGAGACCGCAGACCTTAAACCGCCTCCCCAGAGGTTTGGGTGTCAATCTTTAGGACGTAGTCCTCGGTACTCGACAGAGACCAGGTAGCCTTTGAGCCACCAATCCTAAGCTTCAAGTCATCACAGTCCTCTAGGAAGCCCTAAACCATAAACCCAGAGTCCTACGGTTGATGATGTAACTTCTGCATTACCCATAATAAGGAATAGACCATATTCCCCATAGCCTAGGGTCTTTAAGGTAATGCAGGATTTATATCAACGTCAGTAGGAATTGACGTTTGAATCCCTAGACCTTTGGGTTTAGGCTTCGTGGTAAGAGAGAGAGACATGTAGGGTTTAGGCCCTAAAACTCATGGTTTAGATTCATTTTTAGCGGCTTCTTGGCTTTACTGTTCGACTGTTTAGGGCTGGGGTTTCAAGAATTTCGAAACCCTAAGCCCCAAAGGGTCCAAGTTATAGTATAGTATTACCATATTCATACTTGGACCCTTTGGGAACCGGGCTCGTGTGGCGCGCGAGGTATGAGCTCGCAATGTGGCCGGAGAGCACGGACGAGGACGGCCTCGCTGCTATCGGATTTCGCAGGGCCTAGAGGGTTTAGGGGCTCAGGGCTTAGAGCCTCTAGGGGTTTAATGTAGGGCCTATGATGTTTTTTGGGGTTCCCTATTAATATCATCATAGTATAATATACCCCAAAGCCGCATTCTAATCATTAAGGCCCCTATATTAGGGGTTTAGAGCTCAGGGCCTCTAGGGTTTGGGGGTGTTGGGTCTGGCATCAGGATTTGCGGGTTTAGGTTTGGGGTAGTTTTTGTCTTGCATTGAGGGTGCAGGGTAGAGAAGCCTCGCTGAATAATAAGCAGGAAATTATGAATATGGACCATATCAGTATTGGGCTGCCGTGGTCCTTGTACAGCTCCGGTCCGAACTACGTAGCTTTGTCCCTTGACAGCCCATCCCCCTCAGAGCAGGGCGTTGGTGTCCCCGGAAAATCTAGAATCCTGGATATCTAAACAGGATTGTTCAATGTTGGGGTTCCTTCCCATAGTACTTTATAGTGCGACATACCCCCCCCAACAAAACCCTATTTCAGTTATTATGTGGGTAGTTCTCTAAATTGGGGTCCCTTCAATTAGGGTCCCTCTTTAGATCCCAATTATAGTATGGCACCCCTATAAAAAGGACCCTAAAAGGGACCCCAATTTAGAGAACTACCCATGTGTGTTTAGGCTGCTTCCGCGTCTGAGGAGCTGGCACGAGTCGTTCGCATCGTCGATGCAGCGGTCGACAGGTCACTGGTCACGTTGTGGCGCCCGGGTTTAGGGTTTAGGGTTTAGGGGTTAAGCGTTTAGGGTTTAGGGTTTAGGGGTTTAGGGTTTTTTTGTTTGGGGTAGTTTGTTCTCTATACTGTACGTCCCTATACCGAGCCAGCATGCCGTCGACCGACATTTAGAGAGCCCTAGGCCCGTGAACCCCAGCTCTGTGTGCACGGGAAATCTTGGGAGGTTAGGGTTTGCCGGTACGCCCAAAGACCTGCCTTTTTAAGGACATTAGATAAGGAAATCATATGGGTTATTCTCTAAATTAGGGTCATTTAGGGTCCTTGTTACAAGGGTGCCGTACTATTTTGGGGACTTAAAAAGGACCCTGATTCAGAGAACTATACCCATATAATGAGGAACCCTAAAAGGACAGGTTATCTAAGGCTCAGGTAGGGTTTATAGGGTTCAGGAACTCGACACCCGAACCCCTAGACCTGGGCGCAACAGAAACCCAAAAAACATGTTGACATAGGGGTCTTTAATGGGTATAATATGATACTAAAATTACAATCAGGAGCCCCAAAAACCCTAGTCTTATAATTAAGGCTCCAAATATAGAACTTTATTATAGATCCCTTATGGAACCCTTTAAGGGATCCCTTTAAAGGAACCCCCAAAACCCCTTCGGTTCTCTTGTCTTTCGATTCGGTTAGAGTTTAGGGTTTAGGGCTTTGAGCTGCAGAAGTCTCGTGCCTGGGCAGTTCTGGTCCTGTTGCTTTTGTCTTTCCCAGAGAACCCAATGGGTCTAGGGTTTAGGGTTTAGGGTTCAGTTTAGGGTTTAGGGTTTAGGGAATAGGCCTTAAATTATAGGGGCCGTAAGATTATGATTTAAGGTCTATTCCTTAACTAAGGGGTATTAGGCTCTCTGGGTTCTGCTCCTGCGCCTGACACGTATAACAGCTTCCAGAAGGTCTGCATATCGACTCCCAACGCCTTTAAGCTGCCCTGAGCACCGACACCCTAAACCCTAAACCCTAAACCCTAAACCCTATAAGCCCTAAACCCTAAACCCTATACACCCTAAAGCTTAACCCAGAATCGCTTCTCCCTTGCCTAAAATTGAGACCCTGATCCCTAAGCCCCTAAACCCTGAACCTTGAAACCCTAGACACGAAGCACTAAACCTTGAAA